TGATCAGTTTTTTTACCTTGAAACCCTGATATAGTTGTGCATTTTCATCAGGGGATGAATTTTGTGTGAACCATGTGTGCAACAAAGTTTTTTTCAGATTTTATTCGTCGTGTCACAGGGGTGGGACAAAGAAAGAACTTATTTTCCCAAGAGGATTGTAACCCCAGACCTTTTTCATTCACCTTGACATGGGATGATCCTGAAATCTCTGCTCATTGTTTCCTAATAATCTGGAAAAACTAACTTTTAAACAGTGATTAATTTGATGTTTTTTTTTTACAGGAAGTGGTGACGGTGATCATGCCAGGTGAGACTTCTTCAGGGATTTTTACAGGTGGACACTAAACGCTTGTATTTATAAGCCATGGTTAGCGACCATTATTTGGATCAAACACTATAAAGGCTTGGCCAGATTTACGAACAGGAACCGGCGAAGTTGTAGAAAAGTTTTCAAACAAGTCGAGTAATAGATTTTAAGCCGTGGCTCCCAGATCTTTTTCTCACCTTGCCTTGAAACTTTTTTTACATAATAGCTGCCAACTATGGCTTATAAATATGGGCCTTTATTGTTACCAGTAAAAATCCCTGAAGAAGTCTACGACAGTTAAACGAAACACGTTGGAGAGTAAAACAAGTCTCAGAATAACCGTTCGCAGAGCGCTGCTCGCTGTTTGAACGTTAAAAAAAATAGTCTTGTCCGTGAAAGAAAAAAAACTACAGTAACGCACACACACAAGAAGAAAATAAAACATCTCTAACGATCGCAAAGACACAAGCTGCGAACTTTTTTATCAAAAGCACAAACCAAATTTAGGGCCCAAAGAATTGATAAAAACTGCAAACCGCTACAATCGCAGGATCCGCCAATCCGTTAATATTTCGCTCTGAATACGAAATGCAAAATGCGGGAAAACACATTGTCTAAAACTCTAGCTCTCCCCATCCTTCTCTGTAAACCTCAAAGAGCACTGAGCACTCGCTTGCCAAAATTACGCTTGCTCTACAGGCTACCATTCCTAGAGTGACTTTTATAATGAAAGCTACTTAGCAATATTTTCATTTGTGGCAAAGTTATTTCGATCGAACATCAACTATCCAGAGAGAGTGTGCTTTCCGTCTCTAAATTTCTACCGGGAAAAAAGGAAGAAAATTGCTGGCGCATTTTTCGCCGATGGGGAAGAATGGTAGAAGCTACGAAGCGTCCTGAGCAAAAGAATGCTTCGACTGAAGAAGTCGCCGACTATACTCCGGATTTCAATAAAATTATCGGCAATTTTAGTCACCGATTACGACCAGTTCGAGAGCCTGGTGGGTCAGAGAGAGAAAACAAAGTTTTTGAAATCGATAATGAACTTTCCAAATGGTCGTTTGGGTCTGTGGCGGAGATGTTGTTTGACAAAAGGTTTGGATGTCTTGAAGAGGAAATCAACAAAGAGGCACAGACCTTCATTAAAGCCGTCGGAGATTTTCTGGCGAATGCGGTCGAGGTCGGTTTTTTGCCTTCTTGGTTTGACAAGATCTACGTGAACCAGAAACGTATAAAGTTTTTCGAAAATTTTGACACAATGTACGATTAGGCCGAACTATTCATCGGGAGTAAAGTCAAGGAACTTGAGAAGTCATGCAAGCCATCGAAGGAAACAGAGCGTGACCGAGCTGGCTTCTTCAAGTTCCTCCTGGCCGGCGGAAAGCTGACGAAGGATGACTTGTCGGCCAACGCAAGCGATGTTCTGTTTGCCGGAGTTAACACAACTACCTGAAGGCCTGGTTACGTAAGACCCTCCGCCTATATCCTGTTCTCTCCTCTATCCCGCGAAAACCGAAAGAAGACGTAATATTAGGGGGCTACCATATCCCTGGGGTCACTGCTCAAGTGGAATTCCTTGCTCACCAAATAGGGCGAGATGAGAGTATTTTTGAAGATGCCGAAGCGTTTAAACCAGAGAGATGATTGCAAAACACGTATGTGCCTCGGTCGACGTATTGCCGAGTAAGAGCTCCATCTGCTGATGGCCAGAATCGTGCAGCAGTTTGACATCTCTCACACACCGGAGGCAGAGAATGTGGAGCCGTTCATGAGAGGGTCACCATTCATAACAGACCTGTTAGAGTGCAGTTTGTTGACAGAAAATGAGTCAGGTTTTCATGTCATCAAGTTCACACTTCATTGTAACACTGTTTTGAGCTGAGAGTGTGACAAATTCTGATGACAACTCGTTTAAAAAAACCGCACTAATTAGATCGAGGGTGTTCAATAAGTCACATTTAATAAGTCAGTTTCAACCATTTCAGTGATTCCTTACATCTGATGAATAATTTTCTCTTCTGGCTGCCAATCACTTTACATTTTATTTTTCTTTAGAATTATTTAGTGGTTTTACTTGAAGGTCACATCTTCCCGTTAATAAATCTGTGTATTCTTAACACTAGTTCATTAGATAATGTATTTGATTCGGTATTTTGAAGTACTAGTAAAGTTAACTTGCTAAACTGCATATTTCAAATTCATTTCAACGGTCTTATGAACTATTTTCCTCGCACGCAAATTTTTGTTGCATATGAATGTATTTCGTATTCTTTTGGTTTTCAGTATATAATTATTGTCTTGTAACACGTAGATATGGCACTAAAGTAGCTGACGAAGAATCTGTTGAGTTTCTCTGGCCAAAGAAAAGTATTCCCCTAGACAAATTTTCGTTGATAACAAAGTAACCTTTTCCAGGCGTTCAGTTGATACAACGGAGCGAAATAGTAGCGATAGAGCGAAAGTGAAGGGTAATGAGTACACAAAAGTATCTAAGAGCATACAAGAGCCTCTGAGGATACAATGGTATCTACGCATAGGGGTATCCATTAATCCTTTACACCTTAAGATCAGTATGCATATTCTCCATACTGTTTTCCATTAATTTCCTAAGGTGCTGACAAGGAGATTCTGCTTTACAATCAAGAGCTCCTGTACTTGTT